TCATGCATGTAGGCCTTTGTCATTACTTTTTTTAATATTTTGCGCTTGTAGAAAATGATAAATTAATATTAGAATTAGTATTATTATTTCATCATTTTTTCAAATTTCTTCTTTGTGAACAGGATTATTATAAAATATAAATATTTGACCATAATGCAAAGTCTTCGCGGAGTCTTCTAATTGTGTTTATTCAAACTCCATCTTAACCCGTCTTTAGTAAAGAGCCAACGAAATTTGCGAACATGCACAACAACGCACAGATATTCGAAAAGAGACGCAGAAAGTAATACACACGAACGTATTGTTGAGCATGTACTTATGTACCTAGGTGTAAGTGAGTAGTATAGATACTCTTCGCCATGTACTATTGTTGTTTCTCGTTCTCGTTGTTTATTTTTTATTAAACAAAACAAAAAAATATGTGCATCCGTTTGAAAATGAAACAGGTATATCTAAAAGCTATTTTTCATACAAGAAAAAGTAAGGGGGCTTATACAGATAGGTGTAAGTGAGTAGTATAGATACTCTTCGCCATGTACTATTGTTGTTTCTCGTTCTCGTTGTACTACATTTATTAAACAAAACAAAAAGTTTCATAGGGAGAATTGAAGAAATTGGCAACATCCCTTTTGGTGCGACTATTATCGGACTATTGGTCATCTTAACTATAACACCGATTTGTGTGAGTTCATGTTTTATAAAAACTTAAACACCCTTCAATTGAATAATAAGTAGTTGAACTAATTTTGTAGTTACTTGAAACTGAAGACTTGTTTGAAATAGCCAGACAAAGTTCATTTTTTATTGCATCATTAGGAGTTTTATTTATTATAAATTGGCCAGGACAAATAATTGTAGACAACAACGATGATTTATACTTAGCAACGTGAATATTTATTATTAATACAATTCCATCAGTCATAATATTCGACGATGATTAATCAAAAAATATGCTTCTTTAGTTATACATGCAAATGGTATGAATTCTCAGAAAAATCAAAAACTTTGCTAAAAATCATGAGGTACAGATGCATGCAGCCTCCTATTCTCACAGCTGGAACATTTCTTCCTTTGAACTACGAGACCTATAGTGTAGTAAGTATATCTTTAATATTTATAATCTTACTTGCGTAGTTGCTATTCTTCTATAAATTATCTTAATACACGTGACCAATATTCTATTTTTCAGATTATGAAAACGGCATTTTCTTACATGACTTGTCTACGTTCCGTAAGGCAATAGTCCAGAGTAATACTTTTAGTTTAAGTGAAAATAACCTCAAGTTTCACAGTAGCTCTAAAAAAAGTTTTTCCTGTTCTTATCTGTTAAACGCTTGAATTTAAATTTCAAATTGGAATGCATGCAAACTGATAAAATTATGTTATCGATAAGTCTGACTTGATACAAACTAGATAATTTAATCACAACAAAGATTTATTCTGTGTAACCGATGAGCACCACTTAAAATTCCTGTTTAAAATTTAAATCTCAAAAACATGTGCTTTTAACTATCTTTTGGTTTAACATAACTCCAGTTTACTCAGAAATAACTTAACCGATTATTTATATACACATTCACCATATATTACCTTTTTTTCATGTACTGCACATACATCAACTATACGTGTATTCAAACTGCAAGTATATTTATTCTACTACAAATAAAAATTGTCTTTTTTGTATCCCGAATTAATCCTTTCATAAATACTTATCTGTACGTTCTATTTATAAAAAGTTATGAGCAAAGTTAGTCACTTGTAATAGTCCTATATACTTGTTTTTTTTACAATTTTTTAGTGTCTAGTGCATCCGTCACGTGACAAAAAAAAGATTTTGGTAAGATGTTATGACATCCAACGATTGGTTTATGTTATCTAAACCCAGTAAGTAACGAAAGTTATTGGTCATACTAATTATTGATTGATTGATGATTAAGAATATATTTATCGGCGTTTGAACTCATAATTAATTATAACTAAATTAATAAAGTATTCAAAGATATCAATTTGTTACAATTTTTTATGAAACTGTGACATATTTATTTGCCTCATGTTATCAACTAACGATTAAAAGTACTGATTTTACTTTTTTAAAGCACCAAATGCGATTGCCAAATTTATAAAACTCTCAAAATTTTGATTAATTATATTTGAACACATGAAAAACAAAATTTTTCAAAATTATTCACAGATGCAAAGTCGGGTAAAGTATTGTAAGTATTCACGTATTCAGATTTGTACGAGTTTTCATAAAAAATGAAACAACTTAAGAGCACTGCGTTACGTGGTTAGAGGGTGCTTATTTATTGACCAATAGCGTTACTAAAAAAAAAAACGGAAGACCTTTGTTGTACATAGTAATTTTTGCTGTTCTAATCATAATTTGTACTATTCGAACCATAATTTTAACTTTCAAAACAACACTTCTTTTTACCAGCTTGCATCGAATTTGCTGTGCCGAATGGTAATTTTCACTAGAACTTCTATATAATTTTCATTATTTTTTTCTTTCAGTGTATCGTGTTATGCGGTTAAAGGTGCTTACTTATAAACTAACAATATTGTTAATCAAAATAAAGGAAGACAACTAGCATGCCACGTTATATGTTTATATGTGCTATTATTAATTAAATAACAATTTCCTAAAAACGAGAAGACCTCAAGCATGCTGCATCATGATTTTGAAAGTACTAATAAATTACCAGTACTAATTTTATTTATTAAAAAAGAAAAACCTTAAGCACTGTGACATGCTACGTTATGGTGGTCAAACGATTATTTTAAAATCATTTCATTAATGAAAAAAGTAAGATATAAATTGATAATTTATCTATAAATAAATGAATGATTATGAACTAACTGTCCTCTGGGAATGGGTCATAGAAATTTGCTTTAGAAGGTTTGTGATCTTAGGGCACAGGGTTATTAGGCTACATTAAAAAAAATAAAACAAAAAATTAACTGAGACAAAAATGTTAAAAAATGTAAAAATCAATATTTTTGTAAAATCATATTACTTTTACTAATACAATTTTGCTATCAAAACACAATTGTCTGAAGTTTTGAGGAATGGTAAAATTTTTTTGCTCCTTTTGCCTATAGTAAGAGAAAATAAATGATGGATTTTCACAACAGTCTACTATTGAAGAAACTTGATGATGAAAAGTTTGGCGACTGGAAAATTTCT